CTGAAACACATATAACGCTCACAGACTCTGTATATAATTCTCAACTGTTGAGGGTGATATGTAATAATGAAGAATACGGCGAAGTACTATCATTCCATACTCGCGCCACAACGTGATAAGATAGTGTTCTCAACAGAAGGCAATTGTCGATTTAGTACATCACATGATTTTATATATTAACTAAAATATAAGTTTATAATAAAATAAACCATTCGATGTCATCTGAGTATTATAAGCAATACCGGAGCGGCGATAACGGAAACTACTTTATTCAGGAACGGCAGGATGCTCATAATAGTTTTATAGTTATCCAACCTACATTCGAGATTTTATCATGTGGTGTGCAAACTTAAAGCTCTATTATTCATTAATGATATTTCCAACATCTTCTTTGTTTTTTTTTATACTCTGTTTTTTAAACATCAAATAAAAGCCTTGTTCACAAATCCTTCTAATTTCCTCTCTTCAGTGTCAAAATATCGCAAAAACATTACTACATGAAAAGATGTACCGCTAGGAAGTGGTCAGGTAGCGCAGTGGAGAGCGCACTTGCCATTCACCTAGGCGGCCGGGGTTCGATTCGCTGACCGGACGTGAAAAGGTATGGCGACAGGTGACCACATGGGCTTTCTCCGGATTATCCTCCCACAGTAAGACCATTTGCGCGCTAACATCTGGACAAACAAGTGTGGTAAGTATAAGTTGTAAAAACGTGTTTCATAATTGTTGTAAAATACATAAAGTATGTATCACTTTCAACTCTACTGAATAAATCATGTTCCTACGTCTGGCTGGGATTCGATCACCCAATTCGCTGCAGTATGATATTTTCAGAGAAAGTACTCTCTCCTGTCCATCATAATAACTCCAATAGTAATAGCATCGCTGCACTCCGCTACTTAAAACACCAACACAATTCAAAAATCAAATGTGCCGCTAGCGCGCCAGGAGGATTTTAAAATGGTCTGGAATGGTTGTTTCAGTGTATGTGCCGTAAACATTCAAGTGAGGTTGGTAAAAGATACCGTTGGTGATACTGACATAGATTAGTATTGCATTAAATGTATATCAATTTGATCATTGCTGAAATTGTGTAAAATGAATGATCTATTAACGATTAAAAAATGATATTTTATAATAAAACTATATAAAAATAGTAATTACATGTAAGAGTTATCTTTCATGAAATACTTTACAGTAGTGAAATAGGTAGCCGGTTTCCTGAAGTACAGAAAAATGGATACATGTGACTCATTGATGAAAAACAACTGAACTAATGCCTGTATTGCTTTGAAGTACTTTAATATTGAGAGAACACACTGTTATGTTAGTAATAAACATACAATGTTTATCAATTTAATATTAAACATTCTACCACGTCTGTGATGTAACGACGGGATTCATTGGTTAAAAAAGAGTGCATTATTGGGCGATATACCATGCGCGTGCCAATAACCAATGCACGTGAAATAGTGCGCAAACATGCTGTTCCAACATTCTCCCCGTATTTTATCATGAATTAACAAAAATAGCATAACTGTCAGGCGGGATCAAAATATTTGTTTTTACTTCACTGGGAAGTGCCGTACATTTCACGATGTGTGCAGTGTGTGTATGTACTGTCAAGCGTTGATTTCATGTTTTGACGAACGATGTCGATAGCGTGCCAATGTTTGATTGATTGAAATAAACATCGTATCTGACGTCACACGTGTTCAGTTGTTTCTGGTCTGCAAAACGTCGTCTGCTTTCAAAAGATCAAAGTGATGTCGAGCATTCGCCTACGTGTGTGAAGAATAATGTTGCAAAAAGTAGCAAAGGTCTGAACAGTGGTTGCAAAACACAGCTGTCCGGTGAAGTCGGTGAAGGTGAAGGTCGCGTCATGACTTTCCATCACGTCATGGCAACCAACTGAATATGCCAACTCATGTCAGGCCTATCGTATGATGTTGTATCACTGGCACTTCAAAGAACGTCCGCTTGATATCGGCACGATGATGATGGTTTTAGAAGTAAACGCAATCCGGGAATCCCAACCCTACGCACTGAGAATGTTGACGCGACATTGATCAAGTTAAAACGAGGCAACACGATCACGTCATAAATCTTGAACGCGCAAAAGATCAGCGTACAATTTGCATATCGAATTATCTAGGTCATGTCGCCTTATAAGACAGCAAAACTTTACAATTACTGACATTTGACGTGGTAGAATAAAATTAATAAACTTATGTGCGTGCATTATGGTGGAATATATAACGAGGGTGAGAAAATGTTGGTAAAATTAATTAACGAAGGCCGCTAAGGCCGCTTCGGCCTGAGTTAATTATTTTTCCAACATTTTCGAATCCCGAGTTATATATTCCACCACAATGCACGCACATATGTTGATTGTTTCTTAATTAGAATATGCGGAAATGTGATACTGTCTCCCTACATTGGAATTTCAACTAGGGATGTACTTCCTTCCTATTTCCGTTTTATCAATACACTCCTATGACCTTAAGACAAAAATTAAATCAAATTTCTGGAAAAAAAGTTATTTAAAAAGCGCCTAGTAGTGTCATGCTGAGGCAGGGGTTCAGCGAACCAGTTTGAGTACTTGCCTGCTTCCTTAATTGATTGGTTTTACGTCCCTTCACAACCAAGTAGTTCGGTTATGTGACCGACACTTCATAGGGGGAGACTGATTACATTGTCGTAAATGTAACACTGTCAGATTACAGGTAGGTTACCTACAAGGTGGCTGTCTGTAACCTAATCACAGGTTACATTTAAAAGCAGGTAATACGGTCAAATAGTCAAACGATATATTCTGATGTATACTACAGACTTGTTTATATATGTGCACACATGTCTTGCTGTGTTCCACGAATTCGAATTGAAAATCATGTTATCAACATACTACCATGAAGATATACCACAGATTTGTGTTCGTGTGTTTTTCCACGAATAAATCATGAACAAAATGTTGGTGTGCACTGTGAATTATGCACTTCAAGATTTTACAAAAATGTGCAAGTCAGCTGTAAAAAGCGACCGCCTAAATAAAGCCTCCATAGCGACCCTCCTTTATCTACACTATCAGCTGTCCATAGCGACCCTTCTTTATCTACACTATCAGCTGTATATAGCGACCCTTCTTTTGCTACACTATCAGCTGTCCATAGCGACCGCCTGAATAAACCTTTATAACGACCCTCCTTTATTTATACACTATCAGCTGTCCATACCGACCATCGTTTATCTACATTATCAACTGTCCATAGCGACCCTCCTATACCTACATTATCAGCTGCCCACCGCGACCCCCCTTTATATACACTATCAGCTGTCCATAGCGACCGTCTGAATAAAGCCTCCATAGCGATCCCCCTTTATCTATACACTATCAGCTGTATATAGCGACCCACCTTTATCTACATTATCAGCTGTATATAACGACCCTCCTTTATCTACATTATCAGCTGTCCATAGCGACCCTCCTTTATCTACATTATCAGCTGTTTATAGCGACCCTCCTTTATCTACATTATCAGCTGTCCATAGCGACCCACCTTTACCTACATTAAAAGTTGTCCATAGCGACCCTCCTTTATCTACTTTATCAGCTGTCCATAGCGACCCTCCTTTATCTATACATTATCAGCTGTATATAGCGACCCTCCTTTTTCTACATTATCAGCTGTATATAACGACCCTCCTTTATCTACACTATCAGCTGTCCATAGCGAGCCCCCTTTATATACACTATCAGCTGTCCGTAGTGACCCTCCTTTACCTACATTATCAGATGTCCATAGCGTATCTCCTTTATCTACATTATCAGCTGTCCATAGCGACCCTCATTTATCTATACATTATCAGCTGTATATAGCGACCCTTCTTTATCTATACATTATCAGCTGTCCATAGCGACCCCTCATATATATATACTATCAGCTGTCCATAGCGACCCTCCTTTATCTATACATTATCAGCTGTCCATAGCGACCCCTTATATATATATACTATCAGCTGTCCATAGCGAATCTCCTTTATCTACATTATCAGCTGTCCATAGCGACCCTCATTTATCTATACATTATCAGCTGTATATAGCGACCCTTCTTTATCTATACATTATCAGCTGTCCATAGCGACCCTCCTTTATCTACATTATCAGCTGTCCATAGCGACCCATTATATATATATACTATCAGCTGTCCATAGCGACCCTTCCTTATCTATATTATCAGCTGTCAACCGCAACTCTCCTTTATCTAAATTATCAGCTGTCCATAGCGACCCTCCTTTATCTATACATTATCAGCTGTATATAGCGACCCTCCTTTATCTACATTATCAGCTGTATATAACGACCCTCCCTTATCTACATTATCAGCTGTCCACCGCAACTCTCCTTTATCTAAATTATCAGCTGTCCATAGCGAATCTCCTTTATCTACATTATCAGCTGTCCATAGCGGCCCCCCCCCCCCCGACCCCGCCCTTTATATACACTATCAGCCGTCCATAACGACCGTCTGAATAAAGCCTCCATTTAACGAAATGTGATGTATGGCTATGTGTGTATACACATTGTGATTAATGTGTTCAGAGTAACTATTATACATGTAACTGGTTGATATCAATGCCATCTCCATGATGATATATAGGAGAGTATATCATCATTGGAGGCATGTTCAACGAAAGTTGATCTAAACCCCTGTTAAACGTGGTAAATTACTCTGAACACCTTAGTTCAGGTCCACATATAGCTGTAACAAATTCTCAGGTCCCTGTATCAACTTTATAGTAAACGTAGGAACGTTGTCATCTTATTATAATATACAGTGTAATATGCATATCTCTGCTTATTTATAAAGACACTTGATATGTTACGATTCATAAATAGCATTCTAAAAATGTCTCGATAGTGTCCGTTTGACCCCTGAGACACTAGGACTAGTCTATTATGACAGTATACGTAATTGATATTATGGGATGTTCCATTCTGAGCTACCCATCCGTGCGTTTTTACAGACGGGCACGAGATTTCTGTATTTCTACCTGACACACAAACAACAGGACATCGGTATTCTCTACACAGACAGGTAAGTATAGAATAATAAGTCATCTTTAAATGTGTTAAAAGCATACATCCTAATTATCAAAATTAGCTTACGTCTATGGTGAGGTAAGATGGGGGCCGGCCGGTGCGCCATTTTTTTAGGTATAAAGTTCCCTTTGAAGCCCTCCCCACCAGGTGAGAGGCTCGGTTGTGTAAAACTTGCAGGAGTTCAGTTCTAATTTTTCTTAAAAAGAGTAAAAGGGATAAAAGATTTTTATAATCTTATGGTAAAAAAAGATACTATTGCTACTGGGAGGAGAAAATGGGAAGAAAAATTGGATTTGAATAATTTTAATTGGAATGATATATATAAGACCCCTTTTAGAATAACAAAACATTCAAGACTACAATGGTTTCAGTATAGAATTGTTCATCATATTTTGACAACAAATTCATCCATGTTTAAAGTAGGATTAGTGACAAGTCCACTCTGTACACTTTGTAATTTAGAACAAGAAACAATCATTCATATTTTGTGGGAATGTAGAGAAGTACAGA